TATTTCTAACCATTCTAACATTTTAATTTTTACACCACCCTTATCAGAAGGGCGTGCTGGAGAAACCTGGAGAACTAATAAAATGATGTTCTTTTCCCCCCTCTCCCGGTTTCTCAATTCCCCCATGCCTCTTCACTTTCACCTACTTTTCTGCTCTCCCTCTCTCCTTTGAACTATTCCAGCTTAGGGCCTCGAGGAGCCCGAGACACTCAGAAGGCACTTTAACTGTGCATGTCTGTCACATTGTCAGACCTAAAGCCTATCAGTAAAGTGTCTGTCACTTCAGTCTTTAAAGGGTTAATTGATTGGTTATTTGATGTATAAAATATTTAAAGACGCTGCTGAAACTGTAAATGTTTACGGCGTCGTGCAGAATACAAGAAAATGGCAACAACGAAAGCATAACGTGTAGGACTTTGGGAGGAATTGACAAGTGGCCATGAAGGAGAATGTTCAAGTCCCCAACATCGTTCCTTCTTCCCGGTCCGATTCCTTCCGTTCCCCTACTCATCCTGTTGGTACTTCAGTAAAATTAAAAATTCGCTTAGTGGGAGGTAGAGTCCAGCTGGGTCCACTCGGCACTGCGGACACTGACTGGCCCATTGTACCCTGCCCCGGGTGATTATGATGATGGAGAATTTGGTGGAATGAAGATTTTCAGAGGAAACCGAAGTACTCGGAGAAAACCCGCCCCAGTGCCACTTCGTCCACCACAAATCTCACTTGACCAGACCCGGGATCGAAACCAGGCCGCCGCGGTGGGAAGCCAGCGAAGGTACTTCAATATGTCTCGGAGTTACATTCTCGAAAAAGCTCGGGTTATTCCTGCTACCACTGAGTTAGAACTTTTCGCCTTCACTTGTCCTACCTAAAAATATAGATGTTGAAGAACACAGTAAAAAAAACTAGAATTTCATATGTTGTTTAACACGAGTATGTAGCTTTGTGACCGATCACAGTGGCTGCTGGGTCAAAAGCATGAACCATCTTCGCCCGCCTGAACACTGATGTCGCGGTTTCGTATCCCACTCAAGGCATTAATGTCTGTGTACGTTTATTTTGTTTTTGTGTTGTTCTGTGGGCAGGTAGCTGCATTACGACGAGCTGATCCCCCGTCCAAGGAGTCCTACAGACTGTGTATAGGAGTAAGAAACAAAAAGTGGCCAAGTTCGTAAGGGCTGTAGAGCCATGGAGAAAAAAATTAGTTTGATCTGCCATCCTAGGAAAGAATATAGATTGAACATATTTGAGAACAGGGCACTGAAGTAAATATTTGGAAGTACAGAGCAGCCTCGATAATCCGAACTAAATAAGGCACTGGGGTGTTCGGACTGTCGAATCATAGGAATCACTGGATTTGAAATTAAGAATTCCAAATTTTTAGTATAATCATTTATTCAAAAGATTTATAGGTACATTTTATATATAATAATCAAAACATTGTAACGTATTATATAGTCTTTATATAGTGATGAAACCCACTTGGCTTGGCCGAGAACAAGCGATAACCAGGTTACGTTTTTCACCACCCATACAGACTGGTCCATTAACCAATTAAACCCCAGTGGTTACTATATGTACCACCTTCTTTAACAATAGAACAATGAGGGTACGCAACCCGCTTCTAGGCAAGGTCTCAGCAAAGAGACTTCCGCGCAAGCGCAATAACGTCACACTGCAACAGTACTATCTCGTGACTTGTCTGCGTTGTCCGTGTGGCGCCTACATAACGAATATCTGTTTAAGGGCGAGTCAGAGTGTGTGTCGAGAGTTCAGAAGAGCTCAAAACAATCGAGAGACTAGTGTAGAGTGCTTACAAGAGAAGTGGATAGAAAACCTGACCTGTGTGTTACAATTACAGCAATCTTGAAAGTAATACAATTATTTATAGTTACAACTAGTGAATATTCAGTAAACCGATTCACCAATCCAAACCCGCGTCTTAGTCACTAAAACTCTTCGTTTTTCCCAGAGTGCCTTTGTGTGTTTCGTATGGTTCTCACCGTAAACAGCGGTTGTTTCCCTAAACAACATTAGCCGATTGATCTTTGTAGCAGAGACCTGATGTGTTTTCTGTGAGGTGTCAAATAAAATTTTGTGTATTATTTAGGAGAAATTCAATTATTAATCGTTAACATATCTTATCATTGGTTTCGTGACCACAGTTCGTGTATAAACTTTATATATTATCACGTGTATTAGTAACTCGTAGACAAGGTTTGGATTGGCAAATCACTTTATTGGATATTCACAGTCGTAACTACAATTAACTATAACAATCTCAGATTAGTTTATTTATAAGACACATACCAATGTCTTCAACGACTGCTTACTCGGTAACCCGATGAAGTTCTCAGAAGTTCTTACTCCCTCATACTAAACTACACTTGTTTGAGCGATGTCTGTCTCTCGAAAGCACACCAATTCACTTCTTACTGGCGGGTTATCAACTGGCCTCCTTTTACACCTGCCAGGCGGCTGGGATAGGATTTACCTCCTTGAAGAGTTCTGTTTTTCGTATCCGTTCTGTTTGTTTATGTATGCGTTGTCACTAGAACGTGTTTACAATAGCCACCTATGCAACGATGCCCTCTCTGATATTTGTTTTAACGTGTCACTGTTCGTTACCCCGGAAATATGATTACCGAGCCGTTGCCTAGAAATGGACACCTGGCTTCGACTCCACGAATATGACTTTCAGGCGTCATGTCACAATATTATTTTACAAAGTATTTAGGCTCTTTATGGCCATCATCAAGTAAAATACTACACTTACTCTCTACTTTTCTGGTATTGTTCCCTGCGTTGGCCAATGTTTACAAATGGGGAAGTCACGTGTGTTATTTTCCTGTGTTAATGCTAACGTATAAAACTATAAACGAAACATTAAAACATAATATACTAAATTATTAAAACGTTTAATGTCTTGTAGTTTGGAGTCTCAAATATTTAAATGTTGATTTCTTGATGTCTGCGGAATGACAACACATAATATTATAGGTTAAAATGTTAAATGTTTTAATTGTTGTAGATGGTGTTACTAAATAATGCTGTTTTTTTTTCACAGCAGAAGTCGTTTTCTCTTGCGTGAACTTGTGTTGGTTCTTAGAATTATATATTCTATTTGGTGCATGTGCGTTGTTTTGCGTGCTTATGTTTGTTTTCTCTTGCAGGTTGATCTTCTTGTGGAAGATGCTTCCAAATGAGCAGCAGCAAAGCGGAGAGTGAGTGTAAATAATATAATTAATAATGGCTACAAAAAGCAAAAATATATTGTAAAAATATACAAACATTTTACACGAATTGTAGTGACGGAACTAATAATTAGATCTCCACACAAAATATGACGCTGAAATAAAACATTCCCGATTAACATATACAGTCATGTTTCGGAATGATTCATTTTATTGCAGGGACGTAAAATAATCAGATTAAGTTTGCAATTTTTGGATGTGTTGGTATTCTGTCTGTGGTAGTGTATAAGAGTTCTGATTACTAGGAGTTCAGATTAACGTGGGTTCGGACTACAGCGCTCCACTGTAAATGCTACGAATTAGATGAAGTACAACGAGAATGTACGAAGTGACATTCTGGGAGGCTTCAGCTCTCCACAAAACATTATTATGGTGACAGAGTAAAGGAGATAAAATGAGAAGAACCTGTAGCAAGTATTGGCCAGATGAGACATAAATTAAAACTTATTCCGAGAACCTGAAAGGAAGAATCTGTTTTGGGAGAGACGTTGGTGGGAGAATTGCATTAAGATAATATATGAGTAAGTAGAATAAGTAGAATAAGTAGAATGTGAGAGTACGGACTGCATTCATTTGATTCAGGATGGGGCCAATGTCAAACTGCAAGCCGTTGTGGAAACTGTCAGGGACCTCGAGGTAAGGGGATTTTCTTTAATAGTTTGGCAGTTGTCTGTTATTCAAGAAGAATTCTCCTTGTTAATCTGCCTAATTAGTTAATATTGCTCACGATTGAAAGCTTTGTGGACTCAGAGAGAAATTGGTGTACCATTTGCGCCCTCATTGCACTATTCAATGGGGAACTGGCATCGTCTTCTTGCAGCGGACTTTTGATCGCGTAACTTCGGTTTCAGCTTAGAAGAGAACCGTATTTCAGGGTGGAATATGTCCAGGATATTGAAGACCAGCTTCTTAACCATAATAGACGGAGATATAAGTTGCTAGTGATGTATGCTTGTGTTCCGGAGTTCAGCGGACTGAGCAATAGCCTGCTTTGGAATTTACATTGCTTTGTTAACTACTTTTTCTTACAGTTATCTTTTGGGACTCAAATGACATAATTGTCAAGTTTTGTTTTGTTCTTTTCACAGTGATACTGAAGTTTTTTTTTTAAATTCTTATGGGTAATGTTAAATTAGTTTTAAATAACTTTAATGGTAGCTTTGAGAAGTTAAAAGATATGACGTTTCAGTTATAAGCGCTGGCCTCGGGTCCAAAGGTAGGAAGAAATAACCGGTGTAACTAAGTTTCCTTGTCCCCTTTATGACTCTATGCTTCATAACGTTTCCATTCGAATATCAGTCTATTGATGTCCCTGCCCTTTTACGTAATAGCATATAACAAATGTTCGTTGAGTGTAGCCTAGAAACTTGGAAGCAATATTGTTATTGTTATTATTATTATTATTATTATTATTGTAAAACGTAAAGATATCCCTGTAACAGGCCATGGAGGCCCATAGGATTGTGAGAAGTCGAGGTGCCCACATTTTCTACAGTCGGCTCACAGATAGCGGTAAGGTTGTCAGCCTTACGCAACGGCCGCCCATTACCTCCAGGAAGATTCCTGTTACTTATTTCTGTTAAGGTTGAGGCGACCCCAGGGCCATAGTGCTGCTCAAAGGATTAGGTAAATTTAAAACATTCACCTCATCTGGACTCGAACCCGCGACCTTCCAGCTTGTAGCATAGTGCCTCAACCAACTACGCTACCGCGTGCCCCATTATTATGTGTCCATTCGTATTATGCTTTGTTTTAAGGAGTATGCCATTTTTATAATCTACGTGTATATTGTGACACGTAGACCCATTGCTAGGGAAAGAGTTGACAACCATGTTTGATGGAGGTAAATTCTTAGATATCGATTCTGTACGAAACATTTTCCTGTAAACGAACATTCAAAAATAACATTCAGAAAAGAACCAACTCAGCCAGCCGGAGAAGTAGACAGAAGCCAGTAGAAAGCGGCAGAAGACAGTGAGAGTACAGTTAGAATGGAGTCAGTCTAGTCATGGATTGTCATCTGTTGTAATTGATTGCGATTACGAGAGATTATAGAAGAATAATAAATCCAATTATCCAATCCAAACCCCGTTATTATTAGTCACGGAGCCATAACCACGTGATAATATATAGTCCCATCATAATTAGAAATATGTCACTTTTATGCAATGTTGTATTTTGGATAAAATATTCTCTCATGCAATTTTCTAAAATTAAGTTTTCGACATATGTTTTTTTGATATCTTAGTTACTCCTTTAATGTAGCCTAGCTGATGTCATGTATAGGTAATTGTTATTAAAGAGTATGCTAAATGCTTTAACAATGCGTTTACACTTTTGTGGATAACATATATGATTCTCCGCATTCTTGCAAATGTTCATTTGTCTGTCCGCTTCTCGAAATCGAGCCAGAGCCCGCCCTTAGCAGCGAACATGAAATAATTCGGATCTGGTTTAACTGGAACTGGGGTTCTCTTGTTAGGAAGCAGCCTGAATCTGTTTATGACTGTGGCAATACCAGCCTTCACCTGCATCAGTGCAAACCGAAAGCCTGAAAACAGAAGAAAGTCAAAGTATGAATTCAAACTGGAAAAACAAGCTAATTGTCACTGGTACATCAAGAAACCAGGAGACACGTCAATTTATTGATAATAGTTTAATTAATTTATTTAAGTGCTTAACAGCAGCTGCAAATCAACTACGGACAATTACTGACGAGAGACAAAAAGTGAGCAGACACAGACAAAGAAGAATATGAAATAGACACAGAACGTAATCCTAAAAATTAAATTACGCAAATTATAACAGCTTTATGAACAAAAGGCTTCAAATATTCAGTTAAAGAAAATAACTATTTGAAATTTCAACATATATGCAAAGACATTTGCAGTATAAACACATGTGGTTGAGAGACTAAATTCTGCTCAACGGCTGTTGTCAAGTGTCGAAAAGTCTCTGATTGACCTCAAGTAATAGACTAATATCCTGTATCTCACCCAATAGGTTGTTTATTTGGAGTGATGTATATTAGATTTTCTTGTGATTACTATGTGTATGGGCTGCTGTGTTGATGCTGTCGCTGTGCTGTAGCGGTTCGGTCTAGACCAGCCGTGTCAGACATGCGGTCCCCATAGCCACAAAGTGCGGCCCCTCAACTTTTAGAGCTAATTGATATTAAAATCAATATTAAAATTTTAGTAGAAATATTTTTTGTAAAGTCAATTTTCCAACAGACCAAAAGACAAGAAGTATCACGCAGACATACTAAATTAGCAGGCTGCAGGAAATTCAATGTTTTGCTATTTCTAACATAATTTCTTGTGTAATTTCTCTTTTTACATATTGAAAAGCTGTTTGATACTTGTTAAAAATGGCATTCTCATGCTTTTTAAAACTGTAAGATATTACTTTAGGTAATTATATGGAAATTATTCCTAAATAATAAATAGAATTAAATTTCGTTGTGTCAAAATCTAATGTATATTTCCATTTTGAAGTGCGGCCCTGTACTATTATTTATAGGGCTGAGGTGGCCCTCTTTACAAGTTGAGTTTGACATGCCTGGTCTAGACTGCTTGTTTGGTGGTATCTGTATATGTGTACGGGCTGCTGTGTTGATGCTGTCGCCGTGCTGTAGCGGTTCGGTCTAGACTACTTGTTTGGGGGGTATCTGTATATAACGAGCGTCAGCTCCACAAGACGATAGTAAGGTCAAAACCACACGACCTAACTTATGTGAGAAGATCCGCCAGAAAATCACGTCAACACATAGCGGTCACAAAGTTTTAGAGAGACTCATCGCAAAATACTTCATTTTTATTTTAGTACAATTTATTTTTTTATGTTTTAATCTTTAGTCTCTAATTTTTAAACATTATTATTTGAGTATTTAAAATTTTAACTCAAAGGCTCAATTTATGCATTTAAGAACACTCAAGTGTACAATAAGGATCCTTATTAAGGTTGAGGCACTACGCTAAAAGTTGGAAAGTCGCGGGTTCAAATCCCGATGAGGTCATTGGATTACTTTCAATTGGAATAATCCTTCTGGCCGCACTATGGCCCTGGAGTTGACTCAGCCTCTAACAGAAATGAGTACCAGGAATTAATTAAATAATTTTCCTGTGGAGTAAAGTGCGGCAGGCGCGTAAGGCTGACAATCTTACCGCCATCTTTGAGTCGATTGTCTAGATAATATGGGACTCTCAACGTCTCACAACCCTATGGGCCTTCACGGCCTGTTTTTACTTTACTTTTTTACTTCACTTATTGAAGAATTAGATGTAAATTGTTAGATTAAATTCAAGAACTGGATCTAGTATCATTGTACGCCTGATGAAGCCCAGTATAAAGGTCGAAACATGTAGCATTAATAAAAACAAATGTTTATAGGTTAGTGTCTACTTTGTTTTAAATACAGGATATTGTTGTGTAGACTGCATACTTTTGTATACATTTTGTGTACCTTGTTCATAAAGTTTGAAGACCACTGCATTGTGGTCTCCTCTAAAACTGAAGATTATCATCGTGAAATTATAACAGTAATCGCACCTAGACACATCCTAGGACCTTCGCCAAAAGGCAGATAGGAATATCGGTGTCGACTTTGCTTGTTCCCTTCGCTGAAACGCTCTGGATCGTAACGTTTCGGGTCTGGAAAGTGCTGAGGATCACAGTGGATAGCATACAGCGGTAAGACCACTGGAGTGCCCACTTCCACTTCATATGTTCCTCCGGAAGGCGTTGGTAGTTTAAATGGTTTGGTGCACAATTTTATCATGGCCATAGCCGGAGGGTACATCCTGAGCGCTTCTGCAACACAGACAGTCATCACGTGAGGCTAAGTTCGATCTTTCTAGTTCTTATCCACGAGCTTACATATTGCAAATCGGAAAGCCACAGTGGATCCAATCGTGTATTTCCATAATTTTAAGTGAATATGTAATTATTTCCTTGGAGAAGAGTTCTTTTAAGAATATGATAGTGGCTCATCTGGTCAACGAATTCCCCATCTGGGACCTGCCATCTAGCCCTATCTTAAACCAATTTAATTCAGTCCGTATCTTAGTACACTAATTCTTTAAGACCCCTTTTAATATAGTAACGGATTTGCTCAAAGCATTGCTTGGAAACAGCTCGGTAAACACGTTCCAACCTGTAACAATGGAAACTGTGTCTCAGTGGACGAATGTTATAGCTTGTAGCTAGGCAGCAGCCAGCCCTGCAATGAACTGGTGAGATAGCGATGATAGCGATTATGTGATTTGCGTTTCCTGTGTGGTCCGTGCGGAGCCTATATATATATATGCAATAACTTTCTTTCTTCTTCTTCGGTGCAATCGATCTGCTTTAGTTCATCCAAATAATGCCTCGCAGAAGATCAGACTTAGGTCGTCGTACTCGCGGAGGGGATTAATGAGTCGAGTAATTTCAAATCAAACTGGGGAAGAACGGGCAGACTGAGCCACAGCAAGGCGTGGCCGGGCACAGCTAGTATATATATATATATATATATATATATATATATATATAACGAGGAACTTTTGTAACCGAGGTTAGTGCAGTGCAGTGCAGTGCAGTTGGGTGTACAAGGACGAGAATGGAGCATGTCCTTAGTGAAGTGTGAAGATTAGTTGAGTACAGTTTAGGACAGAGGAATACAGAGTGATTGAAGACGAAATAAGAAGATGAGTTCACAGTGATTGGAAGTGCTAGTTTCTATGTTGAGATCCGTTGAAAGGACGCGACTTGTGAAGACGGAGAATCCTAGTGCGTGTGCAACGGTGAACTGAAAATGTGTAGAATAGGGATAGCGTTATAATTGAGCGTGATTGAGGGATTTATATCCGAGGTGCCAATGAATCGAATCATCCGATCTAGAACCTGTTATATTTATCACGCGTACCCCCTTACACGTGACAATATTATCCTTGTCTCTCAAACGGCCTCCTTTGCCATAGTGCAGAGAGACAGTAGATCAGCTGAGAAAGAAATTCCTCGCCCTAATCTCGAACCCAAGGCTTTATTACCGTGTTCACAAAGTGTGTCACTTCGGGTCTTAGAACTAAGTATCAACTAAGTTGACATTTGAAAGCACAATTCGAAACGAGTGAATATTATCTTACCGGACAGTGCCATATCCAAATACGTCATTTCTTGAATTGCATCAAAAGTAAGCTGACCGTCGTGCTTCTTCAGAACAGAGTCCACTTCGTCCCGTACCTTCGCCTGAACATCAGGGTTAACAGCCAAGCAGTATAGCCCGAAGGCCATCGCACCAGACGACGTTTCGTAACCATCGGCAAAGAAGGTAGATGCCTGTGCATATATGTCCACATCAGTGAACCCTGAAATGAGGAAGGACAATGACTGAGTACTGAAGCCCTGTGGAAGTATGAGACACCTGTACTGAAGTTCATTTTGAGAGAAATAATTTGCACGATAAACCAAGAAATCAGGTCCCACGTATTGAAATCGGGGAACACCTACAAAGAAGCTCGCCATTACATATGAATTATTGAATCTAACACCTCATAAACTTTTAAGTTCAATATGTGTTAAGTGTTTATGAACTGGTGGCAAGCATAAACTTAGCGTACGCAAGACAAGTCTTGGGAGGGCACGCGAACACAACTGGAATGTCTCAGTTTTGGTTTTTATATCCTTTTTGCACAATTGTAATTACGATGCGAAGTTTATTGTCCATAGGTAATTTTTTACAAAAACAAAGTTGCAATTGAATTGTTGAAACAAATGTGTCATGCTTATAGTAAAAATTGTGTTTGAAATTTTTAAGTAATTTGGGTACTTCAGAAACATTTTTAAAATGCGGTACTTTTAAATAAAATATTTATAGAAAGTCTTACACAAATTTCCGGCAATTTCTTTTTAAAAACTGGTCACAATTTCAAGACAAGAGATGGATATGGACCATATAGGTTTTACATTTTACCGAAAGCAGCGAAATCACTTAAATAAATGAGTCCCACAAGTATAAAAATTAGACTCTTACCCCTAATATTGCAAACTATGATGAATTGTATATAGCCGTAATTCTCTGTCGAAACAGCACTTTCAGTGTGCTAGGCAAGGCATTCACATATAAATGTATAATAAATGCAGTTTTGTAATTTATATGGTTGAATGCTCTAGGTTCTGTATGGGTGCGAAACTTGGTCTCTGACATTAAGGGAGGACCATATAATGAGGGCGTTTGAAAACAGGGTGTTGAGGAGAATATTTGGACCGAAGAGAAATTAAGTGATAGGAGGTTGTAGAAAACTGCACAGTGAAGAACTTCATAACTTGTACTCTTCTCCAAGTGTAATTAGGATGATCAAGTCAAGGAGGATGAGGTGGGCAGGGCATGTAGCATGAATAGGTGAGAAGAGAAATGCATATAGGATATTGGTGGGACAACCAGAAGGAACGGGACCACTGGGAAGACCAAGACGTAGGTGGGTGGACAATATTAAAATAGATCTTAGAGAGATAGAATGGGATGGTATGGGTTGGATTGATTTGGCTCAGGATAGGGACCAGTGGAGGGCTCTTGTGAGCACTGTAGTGAACCTTCGGGTTCCATAAAATGCTGGAAAATTCTTGAGTGGCTGCAGAATTGGGGGCTCCTCCAGAAGGGCTCAGCTCCATGAGTAAGTAAGTAAGAATGCTCTAGGTTGCTCAAACTTTGTGCTGTTTTCCTTTCGGAATAATCCTGGATAGGGTAAAGAGGTCTTTTCCCATATTTTCCTATTCGAGTTGATTTGCATAGTTAATATCTACCAATGTTAATTTTAATATTATCACGGAGATTCAAAAGCACTGGACACCACATGTACATTTTTAATTTTAAGGTAAATAATACACCAAACACACACACAATGGTAAATATGGTCTACTATTTACTTACTCTTTTATGTGTAAAGAAGTTCCTGTTTAAGAATTGCAATTGAGAACAATCCTTGAGAAGTTAATGGTCGCTCAGCTGGTCAAGAAATATCTCGCAATTTATGGAAAGCAAAATATTTTTTGTCGTAATCACATGAACCCGTCTCTGAATCCTGTTCTAAATTAAAAGAATCCAGTCCACGCTCTCACATTCTGCCTGGATAAAATCAAATTTTATATTATCTCTCCAACTGCGCCAAATTTTACCAATAATTTTCCCACCAGCTCCTCAGATAAACTTACTTATGTATATTTCATATCTCCCAATTATGATCCCTCGCATCTGTTCCTTCTTGATTTGAACTCCACAATGCTACTCGTATTTCATGAAGGTACACGTTATGGAGGTCCTCATTATGCAAATCTCCAGCCTCCTGCTACTTTTTCCTTCTTACCGCCAAATGTTATCTTGATCACTTTGTCCTCAGCCAGTCTAAATCTGGGCCGTTACTGTCTTCTAAACTCCTATGCCACAATCTCAATTTCCCTCAAGAAGAGAAACCAAGTTATAGTAATGGTAGACTGAATCCAAATATCGTACTTATAGCTCATAATATAATCTATGTATACCAGAGCTTCACACTCGTATTAGCGGGGAAGAAATGTCAAGTTTTTATTTCAAACCCTTCAAGTTACAAAAATAAAAATTTCATTCTACCAATTACATGTCATAAGACATCCGTTTGTGCGCTTGTAGCAACAAGACATATATCCAGTCTGCTTTAAAATTTCTATCATGTAACATTTCGGCATTCCTTGTTGCAATGGTTTCAGAAATGCCTTCCTTTAGTTCATAAATTTTTCACTTGGTAACGGCAGAATGTAAATTGTTTTTGACATACCACCTGAAGAAGAAATCTTGTAAGTTAAGGTCCGGTAGCCACGGATCTAGGGTTTGTTCCCTCTTCCCAGTCTAACGTCTATATATCTGGTCATCAAGGAAGTGACGGAGGGATGGCGCTCCATCTTGCTTAACTGTATCCAGTCCTCTGCCAGCTGTGGCCACAATTTGTGCCCTAGCTTATTGACATAGACAACACCTATAATTGTGCTTCAAACAACAAAGAATGACCCCTACAGTTTCCGCTCAGGTAATATAAAAAGCATATTCACTTTCGAGGAGTCTCGTTGCAATTCGATATAAACCATTCTGTTCTGTAGGACCCAAATACAGCAGTTGTGTGTATTTACCTTGCCAGACATAGAAAACTTCTTTTCGCCTATAAAAACGAAGTCAGCCACGAGATTTTCATCATCTGCCATAATGCGATAAAATCTGCAAGAAAGTTAATCCAGTACCTTCTTCATTGTTACTTAAAGCTTGAAGAAACTGCAGTCTGTATGGCTTCATAAGCAAACATTTCTTCAGAACACACCATAAAATGTGGAAAGGCATCTGTATGTGTTGACTGGCTATGCGAATGGACTTTAGTTGGCTGCTTGGAAAAGTTTATCACATTCGCCCCACATTTGAGTCACTGCCTGCCCGGCCCACTCTCTTGTAGAGGCAACAGAAATCTGGAAATTTTCTGTAACACTTTTTAACTGAGTTCTTAGAAATTGCGCCCTTTCAAAATCTCGATCGATGTCGCCTCTTCACTATCGTCACAGATTTCATACCATCATACCAGAAGCAACACAGCACTTTCTCTTAAGGAGCAGACATATTGACTTTCGGATGCAGCGCCAGTCTTCGGTGAGAAGTTAAACTACTAAATTACCGGGAGATCCGAAGCTCCCGGCAACATACGAAACTTGGTTTGTTACTGCATCTGAAGTGACGTTAGAAATACTGGAAGCACTTTAAATCGATCAGGCCTTTATGAAGTACATTTATAATTCCATCGCCGATATTAAGTCCACCCCAAATAGATTTAAGAAATTATTTCCTCTGTAAGTGAAGAACTTACAGAATTTCACGCTTCAGAGGTCCTACTGACCAGACCGACTCTGTGTATCTGTACAGTGTCATCTGCTGGAAGTGAGACATTGTGTGGAGCAATGGGGGGGGGGTCATTGTTTAAACTGTAGTTGTACACGGTATTTTATGTTTTATGAAACAAACGATTCACCATCGCACCATTACAACGCGTTTCCCAGGCACCAACACAAATAATTACCATGTTATTTCGCTTGACACTGTAGTACCATGTATACTACCACAGTCAATAAGTTCGTGGAATGGCCGCGAAACGTTGCAGTGCACTACAGCGGACCACATTCCACGAACATAATGACTCTAGCACGTATAACAAAATATGTTTTAAATGTACAATCCAGGGGCAAACGGCACTACCATCGTCTATTGAACGAAATGGAGCATTTTATCTCCGAGAAAAGAGACGCTTTGTGTTTACTTTCATTGCATTCAGCGCGGAAATTAAAGAGAGAAAAAAACAATTTGACTGTTTTGCATGATATTGTTTGGACATTCTGCGTAGCTAGCTTGACAAATTCAGTAATTCGCTTGAATTTCTGTGATTATAGAACACTTCTGTAATGCAGCATTCTCTTGTAAATGAGGGTAGAATGGAGGCAGATGAGTAATCCCCGGTGCAAATTACTGCTCCTCCGAGATGGTTATTTTGTTGTGGTCCTATACTTGTATCAAATTATGTTCCTGGTAGGCTCACAAGGAAAATCCCTACACGCCAGAACAAGTAGTAGGGAAATACAGATGAACAATACAGTTAATTCTCTAGAAAGCATATAATTTGGAAAGAAGTATTGACTCCAAGAGACTTCCCCTAGTGTGGAGGGGAGTTTTATCAAAATGGAAAGCAGCGTTTCATAGTTACAGGGGGCTAAAAGTGGACAGTATCAAGAGTTTAATAACATAGGGTCAATGAATCACTTTACCCTTCAAGTTGCAGCGTACAAATATTTTTCTTGTTCATACTAAAATATTTAACTTATTTCGACCAACACAAGTATTTCTGAACAGGACCCAGAAAGCGTACTTCCCTGCTGCATAGATTTCTAGTCCTAAAAGTCTATTGCTCTGTTATTTTCATTGTATTATTACATATTATTATCGACGAACTTATGACAAATTATTTTCTGGTACAGGGATAACTTTACTTTTTTATCATATTTTTACTAGCAATGGTTTCTTCAGTCGCTGAAATGATAATTGTATTCATTATAAATATATACATTCCATTCTTCTCAGTTCCTAATTATGACCTTAAGTTCTGTTACCGGAATTGTTTTTATTATTGTTTTTTATTGTCATTATAAATCAACCAATAAAATGACTTTATTTTTGCTTTCTTTGCGTTTCATTTTTCTTTATCTTCATTCATACTGACTATAATTGGCTTTGGGTTGTTACGTTTGAACTAAATAAATGAGTTGAATTTATTGTTATTTTGTATTATCATCATCATTTATCTCCACA